GACAACACAAAAGACAAGACATATCACACTGGTAGATGACGTTACAAAGACAGCTGGGTTCAAAGGAGCCCCGGGCAAGTATATACCTGTCCTTTGCTGACCAACGGACAGCCAGACGGGTGAGTAGTCCCGCTGGGCAATTCCAGACTACGCAGGTAAGGAATTATTAAACATAAAAATTCACTTACCGCTTTCGGATGTGATCAGTCTCTGGTAATTCTGGAATGCTCCACGGTCCCCCCTCGTCCACTCTCGGTCGGCTAGGTCCAGTGTTCAGAACCCGGGCCCCACGTTGGGTGCCAAAATGTTTTGGACTCGGTCACTTACAGACCATTTACCGTGATCTACCAGTGAGCCAAATTAATATAGAATTACGTGCATGTGGAAGAAGACACTGACACTGTTGCAGTTTGCCAACTTCCTAAAATTCTGTTTTATTGAGGAACTAACAGTATCATTTATAGGGCTTATGATGCAGGCAAAGCATATACATTGATTGGGTGAAAAGTCCACTGGGTTTCTGCGTGTTCTTCCATCCGTGTTTTGATATCTTCCAGTCATTGTCCCCAAAAAGACTCATTCATGCTTTTTTTATGGGGGTTGTTTTACATTAAAAGATACTTTCTCCTAATGAGTCACCTAGGGTGTGTTTTTTTTTTGACTGCGGATGAAAGGCACCATCTTAATTATCATCATTGTTCTGTCAACCTATATCTGATTGTTTACTTAAGAGAGTAAAGGAATTAAAGAGCAAGAAGCAGATAGTAGCAAGACTATAAAATTGTCATTTTACTGATCATCTAATAGAACTTGGACTGTCTATCACAATCCACTACACTGTTTTCGAGGCAGTGTGGCACCCATGGGACAATTTCTCCTCCTCCCACCTTTTCTACAAATGTACAATTCTGATGGCCTCCGTTGATCCAGTGGCGGTTGGAGAATATGTGAGTGATATGTGCTGCAGTGTAAAAGATGGACTTGGCCTTTAATTGCTATAGAAGTAATGAGGAATACTGCCCACACCTGATCATGGAACAGAATGTCAGTCAAACTGTCCAATCAGTTTTTTACCTTTGTAAAACGGGGGGGGGGGGGGGGGTTATAAAAAAAAAAAAAACAACCATCCTTTATCAATGTTTAATCTTTATTTATTCATGGGCCTATTTATAAAATAAAACACATCACAAAGGCACCATTTTATTTTTTAGTTATATGCAGTTCAGTATTCTCAAGCTTATAAACATTCTTCATGCACTTGTGTAATGTATAATGTATTTCACCAATATGAGCAAGCAAATATATATACAATACATGTCACACAGAGTAATATCGCTGTCCACCCCAGCTATGATAACATACTACATATCCGATAACATGGTACATATCCATCCACAGGGATTGGGCAGAAGACAGAAAGTTAAAGTTCGGATAAACTCAAAATTAATGACATTTGGTTTGCTACCGCCTTGTGTATTATAAACAATTGTTATCTTTTTAGGGTTTTTTTAAGCAAAGTTATTTTCACCTTTTTTTGGTAATAATTTTTAATTAATCTCCTGCAGCCTCTGTACAGATGCTTTTATTCAATGCAAAAATATGATTGGGAGACAAGGACAGCGTTTCGGCCTATAACAGGAAGCTCCTGAACAAGCACCTTCATGGCAGGGTCACCAGATATTATATTAATGAAAGCTTCAGATTTAAACATATAAAAAATAAAATGTTTTAAATTCCAGTAACACGTTATAGGATAGGGTCTACATAGCTCAACTCTGTGCACAATAAATAAACAAACAAACAAATAAATATATGACCATTGCATAGGGCACCCCCACCCCTTTCACTGCAATGGTCAATTATTTTAATTTGTTATATTCACAATTCATTAATTTAAACAATTCTTCATAACTGAAGAAATAGAGACTAAATTAGGACTAAATATTAAACATGTGCATGCAGATCATTTTAATTTCATTTCAAATTTATTGTCATCATATTTGTTATGTTGGCCCAATTTTTTTTTCCGGAATTTATTTTTTATCTTCAGCATTCATTTCATATATTTGTTGGCCAGGGTGGATTTGAAAAATATTGCCATTTTTCTGGAAGATTGCTATATATTATCAAATCAGATGTATTTTTTCGGACACTAGTCGAACCCACCAAGAGAATGGCACGAACTGATTGGAGAATATCAACTAGCATAATGTGCATCCGAATTAACGAATGGAACGAAATTCGGATCCATTCATTATCTGAATCTGAATTATCAAACTATTTTGAAAATTTAATTTATTTCCCCATGGGTGCCAACTACTGTCGCATCATGCGACGTCATCTGAATAAACAAATGCATTTGCCAATTTAGATATAACTTTTTTTTTTTGATTCATTGACATTCGTTGCTGTGTTCATTCGGAGATTCGTATACATCCAATTGTCTGAAAAGGAAATTTTCTTCCAGAAAACTAATTGGAATTAAACACACATAGGTATGGACAAGACCTCCTACTCTCCAGTTCTCTGGTCTCCTCCTCCCATGCTCGCCTCCAGGACTTCTCCAGGGCATCGCCCATCCTCTGGAACTCCCTACCCCATCCATCAGACTATCACCTACTCTCCTCTCCTTTAGGAGCACACTAAAAACCCACCTCTTCAGGGAAGCCTACCCCGCCCCCTGCTAATTGTCGATCTCCTCCACTCTTCCTACCACTCCATCCCCCACAGCTTTTCCTCTTGTACCACTATCCCCTCCCTCCTAGATTGTAAGCTCCAAGGAGCAGGGCCCTTGAACCCCTTGTGTATCGCACTGTATTGTTATTGTACTGTGTCATGTATTGTCTCCCATTGTAATGTACAGCGCTGAGCAAACTATTGGCGCTTTATAAATACTGAATAATAATAATATACATTGTTCAAAGCTAAATATACAAACCATACCTGGAGTTCATCTTAACTAAGCAATGTATATCAATCTTCTGAACAGCCAAAAGCCACTTCAAGAATGGTTTTAGCATCTTCTGCAAGCTCACTCATTGCAGAATACAGAAATTCAGAACATGTCGCAGCAGACATGCTACCAGCAACAAGACTTAGCACTGGAACCCAACTGATAATAGCTTTACTGGTCATAAATGCAGTGCTATTCCTTCTCCTCACCTCATTCCACACAAGATCATCAGTGATCTCATGTTTGACAAATGGGGACTTCATTAAACTTTTCAAATCATCAGCAGTTTTACCAGACCTTTGTGCCAAATCATCTAAAGATTTATCATCAAGACCAAAACTTTCTACGTATTCTCTAATACGGCTCTTTAAGGTTAAACGCTCATAGTATTGCCCAATCCCAGGGATAATGGAACCTATAATGGCTCCCAATGCGATCAAAGGGACTGCAGTTGTTAGAGCTTGCACTTTCATGCAAATTGCCTCAGAGGAAATGTTAGGCAAGGCACGTAGATAAACGTAACGCTTGTGACTTGGAAGCTGCTCCTCAAACGTTTTCAGCAAAAGAGAGAAATCAAAGTCTTGTGGTTTGAAAGACGATACAAGAAAGACATAAGGGTCTAGACTTACTGCTCTCTTGAGAGAATTACCACAATCCTCCCTGATGGAAAGCAACATGTTTTTTTCATTGAAATGTTTAGGTCTACGAATTCGGCTCTCATGTACGTCCCTGTCAACTTTTGATCTCACAAAGTAGAATTTTTTATTCAAGCTGTGGATACTCTCAGCCAGCATAATGTGATTCTCTTTGAATCTTTCAGATGCCATTATAACGAAAAAGTCATAATGCTGGAAATTGAATTTATTTAAATAATCACTGGCTTTAAAATTAGGGCTTCCAATTCCAGGAAGATCCCAAAAGGTTACACTCTTATACTTAGGATGGCAGTAAGAATTTGCCACCATAGTAGTCTCCACCACACCAGTTTTAGCAGATACCAGTTCTTCATCACCTATACCATGGATGGCATTGATGAAAGTGGATTTTCCTGACCCTGATTCTCCAGTAATTGCTATGTTTAGGGGGATGTTATCCAAGTCATCCAAACATTTCTTGACTTTATCAAAGGCTTCGGCTGGATTTCCTCTACGTAAAGCATCCATTACCTCCTCTCTCAGTTGTTCAGTGGCAGAAGAATCCATATTTTTATTTAGTCTGTACAATCTAGTAAAATAAAGGGAAAGAGGTACATTTTTCATTTTGTTTTGGATACATTCATTCATTGAACAGTTTAGTTTTGTCATATTCGTTTTGTTGAACCAAGTTGCTTCAGAATGCTTTTGGTATCTTCAGCATTCGATTCTTATATTTGTGTATTTGAAAAAAAAATAGCAGTTTTTACAGAAGATTGATATATTTTCACTATATTATCGAATCAGAGGGATTTGATTTGGACGGATTCAATATTTTTGGGCACTAGTCCATCCCACCAAGAACAGACATGAGCTGTTTGGACAATATTAACTGGCAACATGTGGATCTGAATTAACCACTTGAGCTCCTGAGAATTTACCCCCCTTCCTGACCAGGCCTTTTTTTGCTGTTTGTTGCTGCACTAATTCAAATGATAATTGCGCAGTCATGCAATGCTGTACCCAAACACAATTTACGTCTTTTTTTCACACAAATAGAGCTTTCTTTTGGTAGTATTTGATCACCTGTGCGCTTTTTATTTTTTTGCGCTATAAGCAAAAAAACATGAAAATTTTGAAAAAAAAAACAATATTTTCTACTTTCAGCTATAAAAAATATATCGTAAACTCAAAGTTAGTCATAAATTTAAGCCAAAATGTATTCTGCTACATGTTTTTGGTAAAAAAATCCCAATAAGTGTATATTGATTGCTTCGTGTGAAAGTTATAGCGTCTACAAACTATGGTATAGATAATTTGAAATTTACACAGCTTTTACTTTCTGACCGCCCATCACATCTCTTGAGGTGCTAAAATACCAGGATAGAACAAAAACACCCCAAATGACCCCTTTTCGAAAAAGCAGACACCCTAAGCTATCTGCTGAGAGACATATTGGGGTTTATTTACTAAAGCTGGAGAGTGCAAAATCAGACTCACTTCTGCATAGAAACCAATCAGCCTCCAGGTTTCATTGCCAAAGCTTCATTGAACAAGCTGAGGTTAGAAGCTGATTGGTTCCTATGCAGAAGGGAGTCTGATTTTGGACTCTCCAGCTTTAGTAAATAAACCCCATTGTGTCCATGGAAGATTTATTTTTTTTTTCGGGAAAATGACAAAAACTTTTTTTTTTTTTTTTTTTTTTTTTACACAAAATTGTCATTTAAATGATTTATTTCTTGCACAAGCCATGGGTATATGTGGAATTACACCCCAAAATACATTCTGCTCCTTCTACCGAGTATGAGGATACCACATGTGTGACACTTTTTGGGAGCCTAGCCACATACAGGAGCCTGAAATCCAGTGACCACTTTGAAAGCCTGAAGGTGCGTAACTTCTTCATTTCACTTCCCCACTACCTAACACAGTTTTGGAGACCCTGAAATGCCAGGAAAGCACCAAACCCCCCCCAAATGACCCCTTTTTGGAAAGTAGACAGCCCAAGGAATTTGATAAGAAGCATGGTAAGTATTTTACAGATCTCATTTTTTCTCACAAGGTTTTGAAATATGAAAAAGAAAAGAAAAAATATGTTTTTATTTTCTTTTTTCATTTTCCATAAACTTGTGGCAACAAATGAGATCTTCAAAATACTTACCATGCTTCTTATCAAATTCCTTTGGGTGTCTACTTTCCAAAAAGGGATAATTTGGGGGGTTAGGTGCTATTCTGGCATTCCAGGGCCTCCGAAACTGTGATAGGTAGTCAGGAAGTGTAATGAGGAAATAAAGCCCTTTAAAAGCCTGAAGGTGCTTATTGGATTTTGGGGTCCTGTACTTAGCTAGACTGCCAAAAAGTGTCTCATATGTGGTACCCCCATACTCGGGAGAAGTAGCAGAATGTATTTTCGGGAGTAATTCCACATATACATATGGTTTGTGTGAGCAATAAATTATTTCAACGACAATTTTGTGTAATGTTGTTTTTTGTTTTGTCATTTTCCAAAAACTTGTGGTAAAAAAATAAATTCTTCTATTGATTCAACATGCCTCTCAGCAAATAGTTTGGGGTGTCTACTTTCCAAAAAGGGGTCATTTTGAGGGGTGGGGGCATTTTATGCCCAGCATTAGAAGTTTATGCCACACATCACTCACTCTTCTAACCACCTGAAGACCAAGCCTTTTCTGACACTTTTTGTTCACATAAAAAAAATCTGTATTTTTGCTAGGAAATTAAAGTGAGCCCCCAAACATTATATATAGAGATGAGCGAATTATTCAAAAATTCGATTCGGCTGATTCGCCGAATTTGAGGAAGAAATTTGATTCGATGCGAATTTATTCGCTACGAATTCAACTTATAAAAAGGCTTTCTAGGCTTCAGAGAGCCTTTAAATTAGTGCAGAACACTGTACCTTTAATTTAAATGCCCTTGGAGATGAGGAAGGAGAAGGAGAAGGATGAGAAGAAGGAGAAGGAGAAGGATGAGAAGAAGGAGAAGGATGAGAAGAAGGAGAAGGAGAAGGATGAGAAGAAGGAGAAGGATGAGAAGAAGGAGAAGGAGAAGGATGAGAAGAAGGAGAAGGATGAGAAGAAGGAGAAGGATGAGAAGAAGGAGAAGGAGAAGAAGGAGAAGGAGAAGGATGAGAAGAAGGAGAAGGATGAGAAGAAGGAGAAGGATGAGAAGAAGGAGAAGGATGAGAAGAAGGATGAGAAGAAGGAGAAGGATGAGAAGAAGGATGAGAAGAAGGAGAAGGATGAGAAGAAGAAGGATGAGAAGAAGAAGAAGGATGAGAAGAAGGAGAAGGATGAGAAGAAGAGAAGGATGAGAAGAAGAAGAAGGATGAGAAGAAGAAGAAGGATGAGAAGAAGGAGAAGGATGAGAAGAAGAAGAAGGATGAGAAGAAGAAGAAGGATGAGAAGAAGGAGAAGGATGAGAAGAAGAAGGATGAGAAGAAGGAGAAGGATGAGAAGAAGGAGAAGGATGAGAAGAAGAAGAAGGATGAGAAGAAGAAGAAGAAGGATGAGAAGGAGAAGGATGAGAAGAAGAAGAAGAAGGATGAGAAGAAGAAGAAGGATGAGAAGAAGGAGAATTCCAAGCCGGCAAAAAGTGTATCTGCAGAGCTCCGCTATTTCTTAGCGGAGCTCTGCAGAT